TAGAGTCCTGTTTGAATACGCTTTTCGAAGTATAGATCTTAGAAAATATTGTTTTTTAATTTTAATAAAATATGAATTTAAGTATAAGATCGTATAGTTCAATCAATTAGATACGTGATCCCAGCGGGCACAGACGTAAATCAAACGTTCTACGGACGTCTAAACTAGGTCGCAACGTCTCAGACCAAATTAGGACGTCCTAAAGACGTCTGATAAAGACGTCTTTGTTAGGACGTCCTTGTGACGTTAATATAAAGACGATATTAGGATTTTCATATTTAGACGTCCTGTTGACGTTGGTGAGACCTACATTAGACGTCCTAATTATCATAGAAAAATTAATATTATCAACTTGGCGCATACAATATTATGCGGTAACTCGGGTAATTAAAAATGTCTACTTGGTTTGGTTGACTATTTTGAGATTATTAATTTTGTTTAGTTATTTATCGCTTAAAGATATTTTTTAATTTTCTATATTCTATACTCTATGATCTATAAACTATAATCTATACAATATTTAAATAAAAGAAAATTAATTTTAGTTATTAAGTGTAACTAAGTTACAAGTATAATGAGGGAATTTTAACAAAAGACATCAAAATTGCACCAAGACATTTCCCTTTGTGTTTTATAGAATAGTAATGATATTTTGTGTGTCTGTGTAGTATATAATTTATATATATATATATATATATATATATATATATATATATATATATATATATATATATATATATATATATATATATATATATATATATATATATATATGTATATATATATATATATTTATATGTATGTATATATATGTGTGTGATATATATATATATATATATATATATATATATATATATATATATATGTATGTATATATATATATATATATATATATATATATATATATATATATATATATATATATATATATATATATATATATATATATATATATACATATGAATTATGTTAGTGCATTCTGCAAACAGAGTGATGTCTGCAATTGTAATGCTTTTAAAGAACAGAGCAATTGAGGTTGCGTAGTCATAGAGTTAGAGTTGCAACATTGAAAGTGAGTCAAAGTTGCTAAACAAAATTGCAACTCTCTCTCTAATAGTAAAACTTCTCTGTATTGCATGTGCATGTACAAATTATCTAACCTTCAAAGAACTTTTCATATAATTAGCAAATAAGATTTTTTTAATCTTTGCATAATATTGTTTTAAAGAATTCAAAGAAATATTCAAAAATTTTGCTTTGGAGTTGGAATCGGAGTCAGAGTCGTTCTCTGTAATATATATATATATATATATATATATATATATATTATATATATATATATATATATATATATATATATATATATATATATATATATATATATATATATATATATATATATATATATATGAGTGAATATGTGTGTTTGTGTATAGGTAGCGATTCTTTACAGTTTTTGGCGTTAGACAAAAACCCTTTAATTTTTTTGAACTTTACTTGTTTATATATTTTTTTAAGGTTAAGCATGTAACTTGAAATTTTTTGCATTATTCAGTTTAAATCTACCTCTTTTCAATCATATATAGGAAGTACTATTTACTACTTTATATACTATTTATATGGCTTCACTTATATATTTTACTTTTCAGAGTTTCAGAAAAAATTTATGTTCCAACTTGCTGAAATGAAAATATTTTTAGTAGATAGAACTATACTGTTTTCTAATAATCCAGAAGAAGGTTTTAAACAATGTAAAAGTTCAGACAAACTTAATGTTTTGAAAAAAAAAATTCGCAAATGGAGATATCCAATACACACTTTTGTATACATGAGTTTCATCTTTATTGTTTATATGTTATATATTATTACAATATTTATTTTAAATTGTCATAAACATTTTCAATGTTTCTTATATATTATTTCTTTTTAGGTAAAACAGTTATCATTAATTGGCGGTAAAAATCGAGCTGATACAATTAAAAATATTTTGCTCTTGTAAGTAATTAGCAAAAGTTTGAGTTTTACCATTTATGATTGACAGTACAGCATTTATCTTCTTTTTTACATATGTAGACTACCAACAGACACTATTTTATCAGAATACAGCACGAATTGTTTAAAGAAGAAAAAAAAGTTTAAAGAGTTGACAAGTCTATGTAACGCTGTCACTAGTATTCTTATTAGCTTATTAATGTGTTTGATTAATTAAAAATGATGTTTTATTTAAAAAAATAAAAATTTTAATTTCTTTGTCTATGGAACATGACATGTATTCAAGTGTATGTATACATGACATGTATATTTTATTTTGTGATCTTATTGAAACATGTGTTGTTGTTTTTATTAGAGGCTGCTTTAAAGTAAAAAAAAACTTAACCAAAATGGATGCTATCCAACTAATTGGGAGAGTAATTAGGCATTCTTCTGACCGAATAAAGAGAACATCAACTAATATGGATTTCGATCGATGATGGCTTAATTAACTGTTGTATTTTTTTTATTTTTTTTTTATTTTTAAGCAATTTTCTTCTATTTATAATGCACTATCGATTATATTCTACAGTACCTATTAGTTTTTAATTTGGAAAATGTAACTTTGTTTGAAAAATTGTTCTTATTTTTTGTAAAGTTATTAATTTATTTTGAATATATCAAGTTACACTTTATTTACATTGATTTCTTTTTATAACTTCCCTTGCCTAGATTAAGGCAAATCTAAGGTGTGTGTTGTAAATCATTGCATTTTTATATTACTATTAAAAGAATGTCTTGGTAAAATTCAAACGTTGCAAAATTCAAAATTCTAGGACGTCTGAAAAAGACGTCCTTAATTCATTCATATGAGACCAGCCAGAAACGTCTCTTGAACGTCTGCAAAAAACGTCTCTAGAAAGTCTTGATAAGACGTCTTTAGGACGTCTGGAATAGACGTCCTCAAGCCTTTCATTTAAGACCAACTAAGGACATCTTACGGACGAGACTTAAGACGTCTTTTGGACGTCTTTAGGACGTCAAAATGCCCGCTGGGATAATTCGCCGCAGAGATCCGGGTTAGCATCCCGCAGCCATTGTAACTTTTGTTCATCAAACTCTTTTTACTTAAGATAGCATTTTTTGCACTCCATGTTCTATATTACAGATCTTTCGTCACCTTCATAATAGTGACAACCCTCTTCTGTTAGTTATTATTTTTAAGATTGAGTTCATTTTGCCTAATTCTACACATTTCCCTTTCTTTACTAAGTTCTACTTAAATTATGATGGAATGTACGTAAAACAACTTTTTCAAATAATATAAGTTATTTTGCTTTAAATCTTGTGCTTTTTGTACTAGACATATGTCCTAAACACTTTGTTATAATTTCTAACTAACTCTGAGTCTAATATAATCATTTCTGAATATAATTTCCCTGAGGCTCCTACAGCCTATTGTGTTCCATTATAAGTAACTAGTTTTTGAGTCCAGATATTAATTATAAGCAACTAAAGGTTCACATTACTATTCATTGTCCTGATATATAGAATCCTATTTGCATACGTATCTCTTTCTGTAAATTCTGTTTTATATAGTTTCTTAATTATATAATAAATAGATATTACTATTCACTTAGTTGAATGAACGTATAGCTCATTCAGTTAAGACATTTGGCCGCGGAGACCCAGGTTCACATCCCGCTGTTTCACATATATTTCTTTTCTTTTTACTCTTTCTGATATCATTTACCTTTAGAGAGATCTCTCGTTCTTTATAATAAAGTATTTAATTGTTTATCACACATCCTCTTTATACTTTTTAAAAAGAAAGGCATACTGTTTATATGAGAAAATTAATGAGTTTATATGAAAGGCATACTGTTTGTATGAGAGTCCAACTTAACGGGATTTTACTGTATATATATATATATATATATATATATATATATATATATATATATATATATATATATATATATATATATATATATATATATATATATATTAGGTATATTTGTATAAACATTTGAAGAACCATTTGACAAATTTTTTTATAATTTTGTTATTTATTATTTAAACTGTTAACAGTTAATATCTTAAATATATCGTAACATAAAATCTTTTGCGTCTTTTTCGTAACTGCACATTCCGGAATGCTTTTTCCGTTAGGAACTATTTCGTAAGTATTCTTACGAAACGATTTGTTTCGCATGTTTTCTTTCGCAATGCTTTATTACGGAATTTTATTTATTTATATTTTCGTATAGCGCGTTACGGAATGTGCATTTTTGCATGTGCAACTTCCGCAATAACAATTCTATTACGGTAGATAAAAATGCGAAATTTTCGCAAGTTTTGTTTTTCGGCGAACAACCCTAAGATAAAGTGGAATTTTTTTAGAAAAAAAAGATTGTGCCCCTCCACTTTGAAACTTCTGTCGTCGGCGATGCAACTAATAAAGTTTTTATAAAATACATGTTAAAAAGTCCAATGAACGTTGTTAAAATACATTAACAACGTTCATTGGAAAGCTTCGAACGTCAATTTATAAAAAAAAAAAGACAAATGAATATTATGCTAAATATTCACCCGTTTTTACCTTAAGGATTTTTTGAAAGCGATAAATAAGATTTAATATGTGATGAATAATAAAATTTATGCCTAAAGAAGACTTTTCCGTTAACGACTCTGTAATACACCTCTATTTCAAATAGGGGAGAGTGGTACTGAATGGACCTTGTACTGAATGGACCATTAGAAAAATAAAAACTTAACAAGCTTTTAATTTAAATGTTAATTTTTTTTAGTTGCATATAATTTTTGTATACTCAAAGTTTCTTTGATATTTTTGGTTTAACGTTATTCGTAATAATGCATTAATATTTGCATTTTTTGTTTTTTTCGAGCTAAAAGTAAATTTTTATCTTTTCAATTTGTTTCAATTTACACTAGATTTTTAAGGTAAAGTTAACTATAGTTAATAATAATATTATAGATACATATTTTTTACTTTGTATAACATTAGAATGAATGTTATATGGTTTACTGATTGCTGTGATTATATGGGTAACATGTACACTTTGATTAGTGTACTGGATGAACCACCATTGATTGTACTGAATGGACCGGTTCATTTTTCTGCGAAGTTATTTATCGCGCTTCATTATTTTACTTACTAAAACAAAATACAAAAGTTTTTTCATCTAAATGAACTAAGGAGATGTGAGTTAGGAAATAAACCAAAATATCTAGTTAACGAGGACTTAAGGGCGCAAGTTCAATTATTCATTATTCAATATTATTACGATATTTAATTAAGGTGGTATTACTTTTAATAACATCTAGCATATAACATTTGTTATATATACTATATATAATAAAAGTTATATGCTAGATATGTTATATGGCATATAATATGCTAGATAAGCTATATGCTAGATATTATATAATATATCTGAAATGTTATTTATACGTTTTTAAAAACAATGACAATTACCATGGTCAGTAATTTTTACAATACAAAAAATCAAGTAATATCTAATAAAACCAAAAATAAAATTTCGTAAATTAATTGTTATATTTAAATTACTAAAGCTTGTTGATCATAATAAAAAATTATTCTACATTCAAGCTTTTATATAATTTAGTTTTTTATACATGTTATGTGTGTGTGTGTGTTTAGATAATTATATATATATATATATATATATATATATATATATATATATATATATATATATATATATATATATATATATATATATAAAATAACATCGATAATTTTTTTTAATAATATGGTTATAAACAAGTTTTATTTATTTCAGAAGTATTATGAGACATCGAAAAGCAACAGCACTAAAAGGTGATTAGGATCCCAATAATATGATCCAAGCTTTGAAAATGTTTTAAATAAAACTCTATCTGAAAGAAAAGCTGTTAAGATATTTGGAGTCAAACGTTCAACTCTTAAGAGGCGAATAAAAGAAGCTCGACTATCTTTAAATGGATTGAATAAATTGCAATGTGTTCCATATAGTAACAGTTCTATGAAAATTTTTTCAGTAACAGAAGAACAAGAGCTGGTTCAATATTGTTTAGTTTCTGCAAAAATGGGATATGGGTTAAGTCCTATTAAACTAAGAGCACTAACATTTGAATATGCTCTCAAACTTGAGAAGAAGTGTCCACATTCTCGTCGAGGTTCTGCTAAACCTTGGGAAACAAATAAACATGCAGGTGTAGATTGGTTTAGAGCTTTTTTAAGTCGTCATCCAGAACTTGTTATAAGAAAACCAGAGGCAACATCAATTGGTCGAATGTCAGCATTCAACAAGTATAATGTAAATCTATTTTATAATTATCTGCAAAGTCTTTTGATTAAATACAAGTTTTCACCAAATGATATATGGAATGTTGATGAGACTGGTGTTACTACTGTACAAGTGCCAGAGCATGTTTTAGCCAAGAGAGGAGAGAGGCAAGTTGCTTCTGTTACAAGTGCAGAACGAGGTATCTTGGTAACAATGTGCAATGCAGTAAATGCAAGTGGATCCTCAATAACACCATTCTACATATTTCCACGTGTTCATTTTAAAGATTTTTTTCTGCGAAATTCAATTCCTGGTTCTGTTGGCACTGCCAACAAATCTGGGTGGATGGTGGAATCAACCTTTATGGAGTGGTTTAATCATTTTATAAAAAGTGTTCGACCATCTAAGACAAACCCTGTGCTGTTGATACTAGATAATCATGAGTCTCATATGTCAATTAACTTCATTGACTTAGCATCAGATAATGATGTAATTGTTTTAACAATCCCACCCCATACATCACACAAACTACAACCGTTAGATATAACAGTGTATGGACCTTTCAAACGTCATTATAAACTGTTTCAATCTATGACATTGCAGAAATTTCTGGAAAGGCTTGGGCAAAAGTATCAATGCCAGTTAACATCATTAGTGGTTTTTCAGTATCTGGAATAAGTCCTTTTCAACCTGATCGGTGAAAGGATGAGGATTTTTTTTTATCTTAGGTTACAAATAGACCCAATCCTGAAACACTCAACATCAATCCAGTGTCATTAGAAATTATTAGACCTAATCCTGAAGCACTTAACATCAACCCAGTTTCAGTTGAAATTAATAGACCTAATCCTGAAGCACTCAATATCAATCCAGTTTCAGTAGAAGTTATTAGACCTAATCCTGAAGCACTCAACATCTATCCAGTTTCAGAAGAAATAAATAGAAATGTTAAAGTCAACAAAAATGTTAGCAATACCCTGAATGTGGAAAGTATACGCCCTTATCCTTCTGCAAAAGCTCGTTTAAAAAAAACCAAAGGTGCTTGCAAAAAGCTCTCCTCTTCGATTCTAACTGATACTCCAATTAAAGAGGCTCTTCGAAATCAACAACTTCAGCAAAATTTAAAAAAACAAAACTTTTCTGAAAAACAAAAAGATTAAAAATAAACGTCAAAGGAAATCAAGAAAGAAATCAAGCAACTCAAAAACTCTAAAGTTTCCATTAATGACATATAATAATGATGAGGCTGATGATATTCTTGTTGAAAGAAATGATAATGGTGTCAAAGATAGTTTAAATTTTTGTGGAGGTATTACATCAAATTACGATTTGTGTGCTATATGTGAAGAAATGGGTCGTGACAACGAAGTATGGTACCATTGCAGACAGTGTGCGAGCTGGGCACATAAAGCTTGCACAAGTGCAGATAATGCCAGCCAATATGTTTGTGATTATTGTAATTTGATTATCTGATTGAGAGATCACTCTAAAGTTGTATTAATTAATTCAGAAATATCAATGTCTCAACATACTTCTTTCTTGTTTTTAAACTCCATTTATCACCCTAATTGCTTTGCATAATGTAACTTGTTATGCGCAATTGTTTACAACTTTTATTATAATATACAATATACAAGAATAGTTAGTTAAGATATTAATCTTGTCTCCCGAATTAATATATCAGCTATAGTTATTAGCGATAGAGATATTGATCTTTTTTATAAAAAAAAAAACTTTTTTTGTGGTCCATTCAGTACAAGGGTTGGTCCATTCAGTACAATGAACAGAACTGAATGGACCACTAAATAATTTGGTACGGGTCACATTTATCGCACATTTTGCCGATGTTCTGTTTGCGCAATGGTTTACAACTTTTAAGGATTGTTAGTTAAGGTATTAATTTTGACTTCTGAATTAATATATCCGCCATAGTTGTTGACAATATGGGAAAAAATTATTTTTACAAAAAAGTTGAATTTTGTGGTCCATTCAGTACCACTCTCCCCTACATCATATAATTTATAATTTTTATTTTACTTTAATTAATAAAAATTTAAAACTTCCAAATTTAATTCAAAGTTAAATAAAATATTTCTATTGTTATTCATTTTAACTAAAAACCGAAATTTCAATCAATTTCAAAAACGAAGCCGAAATCCACTTCACCTTAAAGTAAACTTCATAATCCAAATTTTAACGAATATTCGCTATCGGTCAAAAATATTTGTTAAAATCGGTCGAAAATAAAAAAGACAATTATTGGTTGGATTAAAATTAATTATCAGTTTTATAAATGTAAAAATTCTATTTGCATTGCACTACATACAAACGTTTTTATAAACCTTAGTAGGCAGAGCCGTATCAAAGCTACCCCACGCCCCTGTTTGTAGTAGCCTGGATACGGCTAAAATAAATAAATGGGTAGCAAATTTAGTGATTTGCAAATTTAAGGAGCTTTTTTTTTCAATACTTATTTGGGACCCTAATGACCGATCCTTTTGTTACGGCACTGTATGTAGAACATCTGAAAATTGTTTCCACTGTTTCATTTTTATTTAGATCAAATTATTCAGCAGAGGTTTTTGTAGATTTCACTAAGCGACTCAGTTACTAGTAATCCCCACTCTGAGAAAGTTTGCCGACAAGAATTCATATAAAGCTGCCATGGACGCTATACGTTAAAAAACTCTTTCGGAATTTGTTTCATAAACCGGTTTTCCATTTAAGAAATGTTTTTAAAAACGCACTCAGCTGCCCGACATTGAAAATGTGAGTGAAACTCTCAAATATTCAAAAAGCGTGTTTGAATGAGAATTAAGATTATTAAATTTATTTATGATTCTATAAGTAATTCTCTGGTCTAAAATGACAACTTTTTACTCGATGCCGGTAGTAGTTTCATGCAGTCTTGAGTTTTTAACCGTTAGGGCTATGTTAATAACTATTTGCCCTTTCTTATCTGATTATTGTAATAGATTTATTATAGAGATAAAAACTCCCTGAGGGAATTAAAAGTTTTATGTTTAATAACATTGTTTATTTATTTTTCATAGTTATTTTTAGTTTTTGGTGCCATTTGAGAATATTAATAAAAACGAAAATGAGACTTTTTAAAATAATTTTTAGAATAATGCTAAAATATGGTCGTTCCTGGTTTATCTGTTTTGCTACAATCTGCAAAAACAAAACTAATTGTTCTTTCATCATTACTGGGTGTTGGTTCAATTATATACTTTACTAAAAACTATATTCAGTATGGATCTTTCCTAGGAAGCAATCAAACTTGTAAAACCAAGATTTTAGGAGGAAAGCAAATGGGAGTGCAACAAAATATAAGTATGACGTATTTTTCTTTTAAGTTAAAGTATTTAAAGTTAGATCTAAATAATAGTTTTTTAACATTTTTTCATAAATGATTTGTTTATTTTGCCAAAATCAATAAAACATTTGGTTTTGAGAAATCAGGCCACCTATTGTGAAACACATTTGCTTATATATAATAAAAAAGTATAATAGATCTACTTATTCAATTTAAAGCAGTAAGAAATAATTTTTTTTTTATATTTTATATTTTCATTATTAAACCTAGTTTCTAATTTATTTATAAAGCTTATTATAATGGTACTTCATACTTCATTATATTTTAAGATAAGCTTGTTTGTTCACTTCATAAGTATAGTTTTTTAATAACTTTTTATGTATTTTAAAAGCTTTGATTGGAAGCTACTGAAATGCTCTTCATAATTCGTAATTACATAAGACAATATTTGTTATTCGGTATACAGCCATTAATTTAAAAAAGATTATTTAAAGAATTTTCAAACTATTTTTCCAAAATTTATTTAAAATTTTATTTAAATTTATTGTATTGTTAACATAATCTATTATGTGTGTGTGTGTGTGTGTGTGTGTGTGTGTGTGTGTGTGTGTGTGTGTGTGTGTGTGTGTGTGTATTTGTATATATGTATGTACATATTTATGTATATGTATGTACATATTAATGTATATATATATATATATATATATATATATATATATATATATATATATATATATATATATATATATATATATATATATATGTATATATATATATATATATATATATATTTATATATCTATGTATATATATATATATATATATATATATATATATATATTTATATATATATATATTTATATATATATATATATATATATATATATATATATATATATATATATATATATATATATATATATATATTTTCCAAAAAAACTTTTGAGCATATCCTTTTAACACATCATTTAGTTAATTTTTATCTAAATTTATGCTAAATTTTATCTAAAATATTATAAAAATGTATGTAAATATTATAGCTAAAATCTTATCTAATTGCTCTTGTATAGTATTCCATAAGTTAAGCTAGTGTTTGCCAGTATTGTACTTCCCTAAAACAAGTTATTATTTGCAATAATGTATATGAAAACAAGTTTTATAAACAGTTTATAGGGCTTATAAACAATCAAATAAGATATTTTAGTTAATTTTTTTTTTTTTTTTTGTATTTGAAGGCAATATTTAAGCATCTAATATTTTTGTTGTATTTAAATAATTGAATTAAATACTGGTATATTATAGTTAGTCAATTCAGTTAGTTTATTATTTGCATACTTTATATGGAACAATTAAGAGAAGATTTTTTAAATTTTGATTGAATGTTCTTGTTTTTAAAAAAATCTATTAAATAACTGTAAATATTTTCTGTTCCAAATTCAATTATTTGTTACAGGTATTTTGCTACAAATATATTTATTTATTGTTACATGTGTTACGTACAATTATTTTATTATTTTAATATAATTAATAATTTCAATACAGGGATGAATAAGAGTCTTGTAGATTTAAAGAATAGAGGAAGAATTGAGCACCATAAATAGAGGCAACCTTTGCAGATGCGAACTGTGCAATCAATTGTACATATGGGTTCCATGAGAGGACCACAGTAAATGATAAACTGATGAGTTGTAAAGTAAAGGACTCAGAAACTTGTTTCAGAGTCTCAGAGATTCTTGTTGTTTATCAATATAAGAATATTAAAAGTATTGTAATATTTGTTTGATGTAAGTAACTGCTATTTGGTAGAGTTAAAATTCACAAGCTTCAGGCTATCTCAGATTAGAGATCAGATTCAAGATCAGCTGCTTGTTCTAAGGGATTATAAAGTGATGTTTTATTTTCAATACAAGAGTATATAGTTATGCCATAAGCAAATTAAGCTACTTTTGCTACTTTTTATGTTTGATTTTTAGGAAGATTTTTAAATAAAAATGAGAAACAATACACACCTAAGGATAGAATCTTGTGGTACCCTAGAAATGGAAATAAAGAAGAGTATTATTATTCAAGAATAGCTTTATTACTGCATTTAGAAAAAAATTCTTAAACAATCTCAAAATTTTTTTTATATACAAGAGTTCAGGAGAACACTTTTGTAAGTTTATGACAGAAAAATTGTCACAAATCAAGGAGTGAAGGTAAGTGATTAGGTCAGGAAAATGAGTCATAAAATTAACTTTTTAAGTAAGATATTAAGAAATTATGAGCTTTAATGCTGCAGGGTCAGTGAACCTACTGATGAGTGTACATCATGCCAGAGGTTCAGCTGAAAAAAACTAAATTAATTTAAAGAGAAAATTAATAATAAACAAACCATTAACTGAAAAGAGAAGTCAACTTAATATATGATGAAATAAATAAAGGATAAGCTAGAGAAAATAAAATTAAGAAAATAAAAATAGTATATTTTTTAATTTAAAAGTATCTCAATTAATAGTTTAAATCATGTAATTACATGATTTAAACTATTAATTTAAAATTTAATAGATTTAATTTAAAAGCTTCTCAGTTGTCTAAAGTTATCAATTTATCCTAAATCACTGTTAGGGCAGTGGTTAGGTTGATTTATTTTTATATTTATGAGGCGTGACTGTTAGTTTGATGAGAGTTCAAATCCTTTTAACAGATACTTTTTTTTATGTTTTATTTTGTTAAGCGACAAATATCAAAGTTTCAAATTTTTTAATAATTAAGTTTTGAAGTAAATAAGCTTGGATTAACTAGCTTTGAAAACTCGATCTCTTTTAAATTATATGAAGTGAGCACTTTTAAATTAAAAAAAATAAAAAACATATAAATTTTATACTTTTATTTTTTCTGGTTTTATCTCTAATTTTTTTTATCATTTGTTAAAATTTTTTTTTTTTTTTTTTTTTTTTTTTAGTTTTTTATTATTATTTTTTTTTTATTTCTCATTTCAGTTTATGGTTTGTTTAATTTTAATTTTAGTTTAAGTTTATGCAGTTTTATGCAGCACATTTTTTAAACGCTCAGATTTCAAAACTTGCAAAGAGTCGTTGCCAAGTTATCAAAACAAAATATTAAGTGTGTGGTCAGATGAGGCATGTCTTTCCTGAGAAGATTTCCTAAGAAATCATATAAGGTGTGCAACTGCATGTCTTTCCTGAGAAGACTTGTACATGTATAGTAACCTACAATTGAGCTTACACAGCAATTGCAACTTTTTTACTAATTAACATATAAAAGTAGATATAATAGATAGTATTAATAGCAGTGAGTTAACTTATTCTAGCCTTAGCTGAGAGTAAATCTTACAGTACAGCAGGGTATGTGACAGGTTGTACTGCGTTATATGTTTCCAGTAGCAAGGTAATTGTGGCTTTACCTTGACCATGATATATAAAATATAATTTTATTTTTAAAATGCTGATATTATTCTCATTCACAACTTTGAATGGCAACTGATTCTAAATGTTAACAACTATGCCTGTGAATATCTACTTAATATTGTTATTTGCGCAGAAATTTATTATTTTGAAATAATGATCTTTTTTTGCGGGAAATAAAAAATGAAAAAAAGTTTAAATTAGTTGAGGATTTAGTTGGTTTTAACTATCCTTAACTGTTGTATTTGTTTGTCATTATTATTTCATAATTAATTAAATTTGCCTATATAACTTTTTTTAAAGATACAAATATATATATATATATATATATATATATATATATATATATATATATATATATATATATATATATATATATATATATATATATATATATATATATATATATATATATATATATATATATATATATATATATATATATATATATATATATATATATATATATATATATATGTATATATATATATATATATATATATATATATATATATATATATATATATATATATATATATATATATATATATATATATATATATATATATATATTAGTGATTGACTGAAACGGAAAAAAGCCAAAACCGAAATATACCAAAATTTTGGGTACTTCAGTTTAGTGCTGAAACAGAAATTAATATTTAAGCAAACATTTTATCGAAACCGATACCAACATTTTGGCTAGTCAAAATTAATTTCATTAGAAAATTTTATTTTAAAATGCACATATACTTTTGCTGTTTTTTTATAAGTGTATTATGTTAGAATTGATTACACATGTTTCTTAAATTGAGAATTAATGCAAAGGTTGGCGATATAAGTTAATAGCGAAAGTTAACTACTGGTTTTGATTTTTCTCTTTTTTGAATTTTTTGTAAAATTCTTAAAACTTTAGTGCAAATTATCAAAAGCTTTTGTAAAAGTTCTCAAAAATAACTATTTTTCTAAATTAGATAAAAATTTAAAATCATACAAATTTTTTCGGTCTTTGGTATGTTTTGCTTTTTACCGAAGTGATAAAAAGTACCGAAACCAAAATTTCTGTATCGGTTAAAATTGAAATTTTGGCCAATGCCGATACTAAAACAGAATTTCAGTCTATCACTAATATACATATTTACTTTTTAGGAATATGTTTTTAAAATTTCTTGTTATTATGTATTGTATTTTGATTGTTTTCTGTCTTGAACTCGTTCATGTATTGACTACAATACACTTTTTAATTTAATATTAAAAAGTACATTATAGTATTTTTGTATTGTTAAAATGGTATTTTTAAATCATTATATTAATCATTAACAAATAAATCATCAAGTTAAAGAATTATAGCTTTAAATATAGCATAATAATATTAGTGTAATAATAACTATAATATAAAAAGTAGATTTATATATAAAAAAGTATATTAAAAATTTCAAATAAAATGCGGAATAATGTCAGAGAATAAATTTAAAAACTTTTATAATAATGTTATAGTTTTATAACATAATTTGTCATTGGTAATTTTTTACGTAATTGTTTAATATATATATTTTTTTTATAGCATCAATCAATTCAATCAATTTTTTATTTAGTCATACCATCCAAATTAGTGTTAAGAAAAAGAAGACAAAGTTATGTTAGTAATAGAAAAAGCAGTGTGTCTACAATTAAAAGGCATAGCTCATTGCCTGGCAGCTCTTCTGAAAAAAATTATGCAAAAATAGGTTTGCATTTAAATATATTTTAGGATTTTTTAGCCTATATTATTTTTATAATCTTATTATTATTACTTTATTTTAGATGTGGATAAAGAGCTTGATGAAGGTTTGATGTTTTTTAGTTAAATTGATACTAAATTTCTTGTTTAATGTTTTGTAAACAAGTTTATTTTTTATTCTTTATTAGTATTTATCATTAATATTATCATTAATAATATTTTTCTTATATCCTTATTTTTAAACAAATATTTATGTTTTTATTTAGCTGTTAAAAACCTGAACAAATCAATGAACGAATTGGAAGAAGTTTTAGGGTTACCAAATAACAATAATTGTAAATATTGTATTGATAATGAAATTATTCGCCTTCGTAATCTTATTGACTTAGGACAAAATCCTCAGCAAGTCATAACCATGGCAGAAAACCATCTTGCTAACAATAAAAATGAAGTTTATGAAGAATTAATTCAAGATGTATTGTCTACTGACCTCAATACAGAGTCTTATAACTGTTTAGTTGATGAAATTCGAAAAATTAAAGATATAGAAAATGACTATGACAGTGATAATGATTCATTTATATCAGCCTCTGAGTCTGTTGATCTTCAGGTAGGTCATAAATATATGTTTCTGTGGATGAGATTTTAACAGTTTTTATTTTGAGTCCAACTAATTAGTTTTTTTTCTACTCTTTTTTAAGAGCTCAAAATAGCATTCTTTATTTTATTTGACTAAAATTTTTTTGTTTTAAAATAATGGCAATAATACTGTATACATCTAGCCCACACCTCGTCTCTTGTTTTATGAGTTTTTTAATGTCTATAATTAGGGCTCTGCAAATCAACAGTTTTAGTGTTGAATCAAGTGTTGAATCAAAGCTTGGTTTGCAAATTGAATCTTGAATCATATTTTAAGAAAATCTGAGTTTATTTATTTCTATATTCTATATTACAAAAAAAAAATGTTATTTGAAAAAACAATTTTTGTTTACTTTTTGCACAAATTATTTGTTCCACCTTTTGTTTAGAAAGGCTATTTTTCAATTATTCCTTATCCTACAGCGTTTACTTTTTCAGCAAGAAATTAAATTGCAACTTTTGACATCAAAAGAAAAATTTCACATTGGTTCTTCCAGTAGAGATTAAGACTATCTGAATTTCTCAATGTTTCTCTTTGGTGTACACAGTAATTTTAAATTTTAATTACTGATCTAAATTTCTTTACTTTGGTAGGGTAGGATTTTTAGATGCATGTTAAAACATTTATCTAAAATTTCATTTGTTCCTGATGAAAAATTTGCATTTATACATTGAGAAAGACAGTTTTTACTAATTAAACTAATACTTTTTCTTTTTTCCCATTTAGAGTAGTAGTTATGTTTATGTTTATGAACTTATGTTTATGTTTATGAACTTATGTTTATGTTTATGAACTTAACAGATAATTAAGTCTAAGAAGTTTTAGCTCGCACAACATACTAGGAGTAGTGTCAGTTTTAGCTCATAAAATTTATCTCTAGTCAAGTCAAGTTTGGACAGTTTTCATAGAATTTCTTTAGCGTAAGTAGCTTTATGGCATTTATTAGTATAAGATTTACACTGCTAAGCAGCATGGTTCTAAACCCCGATAGGATAAAATGTAGTGACAAATAGAAACTAGAAAGTATCCCCATTGTTGACCTTAAAATGATCGAAATTGAGGCCAGGTTTGAAAATAAACTGCTTTTTATACCTTTTTGGAAGCTTTTGTATAGATTATTGACCATATCATGCAATTTTCAGAATGTGTGATTGGTGATACTGTCCATAAGTAATACGAATACAAATTGATAAAGCCAGATTCGAAAGAAAGTTTAGAAGTCTCAAATGATCTTTCATCTTCAATTATAAATCATAACACTGCATGATCTTACTTTTTTAAACACAGAACTTAATATTTTTTGATGGTGTTATCAGATTTTTTTTTTTTTTTTTTTTTTTTTTTTTGTAGCAGATGTGTGTTTATTAGATGCTTCTCCATATAATGTACTCATCGAGTACATTAAAGCAGCAATTGATTTGCAAATCAAATCAGATCTCAGAGAACTAACTATAATTTTATTTAAAATAAAATTTATTAAGTTTTTTGTTTATTAAGCAGCCGTGTTGTAGTGATTAGAGTTCTGGTTTTAGAACTGATGATCCATGTTACGAAGCTGGCTCTGACCATATATATGCAACATAAATGCTATTCAATGCTATTAAATATAGTGTTCTGTGATAAGACGATAAGGATTTTTTGGAGCACTTAAAATAATTTAAAGTCAATAATGGTAATAAGTTCAATAATGGTAATAAGTCCAATAATGGTAACAAGTCAAATAACTTATTACCATTATTGGACTTGAATATAACTTATGTTTATTATTAAAAATAATGTTAATGAATTCAAATTATTTTAAAAACACATGCTTCATTCTTTATGTTAGCTTCATATATTTGCTGAAGTATTTTTTTTATAAAGTCTTCTTTACTATTTAAGCTTTTAAACTGGTCTCATACGTTAAATAGACAAATTAAGTTGGAGTCTATTATTTTCATTGTCTATATTATTAACAAAGTCTGGCTCCAATTTAATGATACATTAGAAACAATTCTTTAAAAATAGTAAATATCTTGTATTAGTCAACAAAGCTCTAAACAGAAGCACAGCACAGTTCAAGGAACATTATTTATATTCAGCCTATTAATATCCAAAAAATGGATACAATTAGCAATATATTTTTTTTTTTGAATTTGTTTTATAAATCATTTTATAGATCAGCGATAGTGAGAATTATGAAGCTATTCTTACTTTTGAAAAAAAGTTAAAAGAACTTATCAAGAAACACAGGTTATTATTAGTAAATTTTTTTTTACAGCTGTAGTGACATACATTTATGCCAATTTTTAATTATTGCTTTGTTAGTTTAGCTGCACTAACATGTATGCATTTTTCTTAATGCAGTAATATGATGATTTCACATGTAATAGTAATAGTAGTGAAATCTATATATCTATACTATTAGCAAATTAACCAGTTATGGCTTGGAGTAGTTGGATTTTATGGAGAAAGCTACTTCTCCTTTTTCCTCCTCTCCAAATTATATTTTACGATTTTACAAATTTTACAAAAGTTTTTATATCTTTATATAAAATTTTTTACCTATGCATACCTTTGTATATCTTTTTTATTTTTATAAACCATTTATTGAATTTTATACCTTTCTTACAGCTTTAATGATCTATATATGTATGGAATTGAATACTTAACTCACTATGGAATCCCAGTCAGGAGTATAAGGTAATCTTCAGTAATATATAATTTGTTATGTTAATAAATATTTTCATTAACTTCCTTTTTTTTTTGTAAGTTGATTTTCTAATTAATTTGAAGCATATATTGGGAGTCAGGTTAGGTTTGCTGGGGTTTAAGCCTTTGTAAAATATGTATTCAGAATATTTTTTAAAAACTCTTCACTTTTGAAATCATTTACTATACTGTATATAATATGATATATATAGCTTATAATATCTAATAAAAGTTATTTAGTTTTCACTATATATTATTCTTTTTTATTTATGTTGTTTAGTTTTTTATTTATTTTGATATAGTTATTTAATGAGGTCAGCAATAAATTGCACACCTTAAACCGTTAGCAGTTAGCGAAAAAAAATTTGACACTAAGGGGTTACTATAAAACATAAAAACTAGGTCGGCAATTTTTTGCCGACCTAGTTTCTATGTTTTATAGTTTTATATATAACTATATATATGTATATATAAATATATATATATATATATATATATATATATATATATATATATATATATATATATATATATATATATACATATATATATATATATATATATATATATATATATATATATATATATATATATATATATATATATATATATATATTCAATAAACTTTGTAATTTAGAGATGAATGTTTAATTTTTAATAAAAGAAAACATTTATCTATTTATTTATTTAAAATAAAGTTTAAAAATCTTTTTGATCTATTTTTCCTACTAAATTTAAAATAAATTTAAAAATGATATTTAGTTTTTCTAATTTTTCAGAATAAATAAGTCATTGCACAAGCTCAAAGTAAAAATTATTTTTTAAGTAGTACAAAATATTTCACTGTTAAAGAGTTGTACTCAAAAAACCTTTAAGTTTTCCTGCGTTAAAGACAGATTAATTGACTAGGTTTGTAAAGTTTTGTTTGGAACTGTGCAAAACCTTGGTATATTTTTGATGCTACATTGCATTATGCTTTTTTATGATCGATTTGTGCACACAAGGGTAACACAAATATTTTTGTACAAACCAGAATTACATTAAAACGTGTTCTTGCAAAATTTTTAGGCAACTAATACAAATTTAAGTTTCATCAAAAGAAATTTAGTTTTCTAAAAAACTTTTATCTCAACATTTTCTGTAAAAAAAAATTTAATATCGTAGTTAACATTTAGTATCATTTCCACCTTTTAAATTCAACTTTTGATATCTTCATTAATACAAATATTTTTGTCAAAACTTCAAGAATTTCATTAAATTTTCATTAAAAAATTCCTTTTTTTTTTGTTAGAATTTTTTTATGAAGAAACTATGAAATTAGCATTACTAGTAAATACTATTAATTAGAAAATGCTATTTAGTTTTACAAGCTAGACTATGAACCCTTTGTTACGGCTTAGGGTTTATTAATAGTAATGAGGCTATTGCTTAGTTGTTAAATAGTGTACTGAGTACTATCTATACTTGAGTCAAGTTCTTTATAAATTTAAAATGACTAAAGTACCTAAAACTAAAAAACACAAAAAACCATCGTCATCACCAAGTTCTCTAAACCTATCATTTACTAATATTCGTGGTCTTCGAAGTAACTTTTCTTCTGTTGAGTCTTATCTCTTGCAAAGTTCACCAGACCTACTTGCTCTTTGTGAGACTAATTTGAGTTCGGCTGTCCCATCTTGTGATTTTTGTGTTGATGGTTATCTTCCTTTAATTCGTAAAGACTCCAATAATCACATGCTTGGCCTGGGCATTTACATTCGTAAGAACTCACCCATTTGTCGTGAAACTAGGTTTGAATCTACAGACTATTCATTTATGTGCTTTCGTTTAGCACAACTTCACTCTATCGCCTTTCTCTTTGTTCTATATCGCTCTCCTTCATCCCAAGATTGCACTATTCTTGATGTTATTTCTGATCAAATTGACCAAGCCCTCTCTCTTTATCCATCGGCCAATATTGTCGTTGTTGGTGACTTTAATGCCCATCACACCGATTGGCTTGGCTCTAGTGTCAGTGACTCTGCTGGCGTTAAGGCCCTCAACTTTTGCCTTTCTCAATCTCTAACTCAAATAGTCAACTTTCCAACTCGTTTTCCAGACAACCCTAATCATTTACCTTCTCTACTTGACTTATGTCTTGTTTTGGATCCTAGTCAGTGCTCAATTTCTCCACATTCACCCTTAGGTACTTCTGATCACGGTTTGATCTCTCTAAAACTATTATCAAATTCTTCTACTTCATCAGAATCTCCCTATCATCGTACCACATACAACTACCTTAAAGCTGACTGGGACTCTTTCCGTGATTTTCTTCGTGATGGCCCTTGGGTAGAAATCTTTCGTCTTCCTGCTGACAAATGTGCTTCTTACATAACTTCGTGGATTCAGGCTGGCATGGAATCTTTTATTCCCTCTCGACGATTCCAGGTCAAGCCTCACTCTTCTCCTTGGTTTTCCTCACATTGCGCTGCAGCAATTTCTAATCGAAACCGTTACTTCCATATCTATCAGCAAAACAATTCTCCAGAAAACAGACATCTGTTCACTATCGCCAGAAACCATTGTAAAAAGGTTTTGTCTGACGCCAAAGCTCGGTATTCCCAGGTCATTAAATCTCGTATCTCATCACAAAAATTAGGCTCTCGAGACTTCTGGAGAATCTTTAACAGTATCAATAATAAGGGCAAATCTGTTATTCCTTCTCTCTTGTATGGTTCAGACTTTGTCACCTCACCTAAAGACAAAGCTGAATTGTTTGCTAAGAACTTTTCATCAATATCATCTCTTGATTCCACTAGTTGCGTTTTACCTGACATAGCCGTCAAACAGGTTGATCCCTTGCTTGACATTCGCATCACTTCAGCTTCTGTTTCTAAAGTAATTTCCTGCTTAGACTCTTCAACAGCTTGTGGTCCTGACAACATTCCTGTTGTAGTTTTGCAGAGGTGTTCTCCGGAGCTTTCATCCATACTTTCTAAACTATTTAACAAGTGCTTATCAGAGTCTTGTTTTCCATCATGCTGGAAAGCAGCATCTGTTATCCCTATTTTCAAAAATTCCGGAGAGCGATCTGATTCATCTAACTACCGTCCCATTAGTCTTCTTCCTGTCATAAGCAAGGTTTTTGAATCTTTAATCAACAAACACTTAATCTCTCATCTTGAATCAAATAACTTACTTTCTGATCATCAATATGGATTTCGGTCTTCTCGTTCTACAGCTGATGTGCTAACAGTAATAACCGATAGGTTTTACCGTGCATTAGATAGAGGTGGAGAGGTTAAGGCTATCGCACTTGACATTTCTAAAGCTTTTGATAAAGTTTGGCATGCTGGTCTTCTCCATAAGCTTTCTTCTTATGGTGTAGCTGGTAACGTCTTTAAGATTATTGAGTCCTTTCTTTCCAATCGTAGTATAAAAGTTGTCCTCGATGGACAACACTCTTCTTCACATCCTGTAACTTCAGGGGTTCCTCAAGGTTCAATCCTTGGCCCTATACTCTTTTTAATTTACATTAACGATCTTCCAGATATTCTCACATCTAAGGTGGCATTATTCGCTGACGACACTACCATTTACTCTTGTCATGATAAGAAGCCTACACTTTCTGATTGCTTGGAGGGGGTATCTGAGCTTGAAAAGGATCTCACTTCTGCTACAGCTTGGGGCTCACAGTGGCTGGTGAACTTTAATTCAGATAAAACTCAATTTTATTCGGCCAATCGTTATCGTAATAATTTAGATCTTCCTATATTTATGAATGGTAATGTACTAGATGAGTCATCTACCATTCATCTTCTAGGATTAACTCTTACTTCTGATCTTTCTTTTAAACCGTATATCAAATCCATTGCAAAATTAGCATCTGCTAAGGTTGCATCTCTTTATCGAGCTCGACACTTTCTTACTCCAGATTCTATTCTCTATCTCTATAAATCTCAAATCCGTCCCTGTATGGAATACTGTTGCCACATCTGGGGCGGATCTTCTAATGATGCTCTTTCTCTTTTAGACAAGGTGCAAAAACGAATTGTAAACATAGTTGGACCTGGTCTGGCAGCCAATCTCCAACCTTTGTCACATCGTCGTAATGTTGCCTCTCTTTCTCTTTTCTACAAATACTATAATGGGCACTGCTCTAAAGAGCTAGCGTCCCTTGTGCCATCTACTAAAATTCATTCTCGTGTTACTCGCCATTCAATTAAGTCTCATCCTTTTTCTGTGACTGTTCCTAAGTGCTTCAAAAACTCTATTCTTCTAGTTTTTTTCCTCGAACATCAGTTCTTTGGAATTCGCTTCCTTCATCTTGCTTTCCTCATTCATATAATTTGCAATCTTTTAAGTCATCAGTCAATCGTTATCTTGCTCTACAGATTTAGTCTTTTCTCTTCCAGTAACTTCCAACTCTTATAGTGGTTGCTTGCAGCCTTGTTGGAAGTGAAGATGTTAAAAAAAAAAAAAAAAAAAAAAACATATAATTTTTACAAATTTAATGCTTTAAACTATATAAAGATGGCATGGATAAGGAGACAGATTTATCTTTTTGCCAAGTCCCTTTAACTCATTGAGCTATGTCATCTGTTACCAGATAATTTTCACCAGTACTAGCTACTTTTTGTGTGTAAATGCATGAAATTATGGAATGTCATAACAGAAATTCATTATGGTAATAAACCCATTTGTGGTTTTCTTGTAGATAAAAATAAAAGTAATGATTTTTTATGGATTGGAAATAGTGAGTATATCCAATAGACTGCATCAGTAGATATACCTTGGCCTATTATGGATATACCATGTTTTACTTTATGATTGTAGTGTATTCAAACAATTTGACAGAAATGTTGACTGGACCAAATGTTGTTCAGACAATACCCCTGTCACAGTCTTACAAAAGTGTATTTGAGAACTGAATTGTTTTTTCCTTCCTGCTAGATAATGACATACTTGGTTCCAATTTTTAAAAGGTTATTCTGACCTTTCTAAATATCACC